TATATATATATATATATATATATATATATATATATATATATAATATATTATAGCAATATCATTTTTATAGTAAATGTCACCATAATGTTTGTAATATTTACAATATAAGCGTAATATAACTGTAATATAACCCATGTAAAACTTTTACCAAGAATTATAATTATCTGAAATAAAATATATAGTAAGGTAGCAAATATTGAATGGTAAGAGAAATTAACTATTTTATATAGTTAATACAATTAGAATATTTGGCAAATATAGGTACATGTAACTATATTCCCAAAGAATGCTTTACTATACACATAGAGTAATAAGATGATGACTATAAATCTGTGTTCATTCTGCTATATCTTCATGTTTAGATAAACTATAAATATATGTTTGAGACTAAAACGAACTATAAAATATAGTGAGATTATAGTTATTCCATCTATTATTTTTCTCTCAGTGCTTGTATATTAGATCAAACTGAACAGAAAAGCTTTTTACCATTTTCCAAATGACTACGTACATGTTCAGTTGTTAATTAAACAAGATTAGTATACAGCTGTGCATAATACTACACTAATCTTCTTTAATTAATAACTAAAGATTTATGTGATTACTTGAAAAATGATAGAGGACTTTTTTGTTCAGTTTAATTTAACATATAAGCATACAACGGCAAAGGTCACTATCACAGTTCATTTATTATATGGCACGTAATCATTTACAAATATTTTTTAATTAATAACTCAAAACTTTACGTGGTTGTTCGCGAAATGGTAGAGAGATTATTTGTTCAGTTTGATCTAATCTACCTGTACACCGCGGCTCCTTCGTGAATTATCGGACACTGTATTTTCACATCGTGCACAGTCGCGCGGCGTGATTTTAACCGTTACTACGTTTCGAGATTATGTATTCCATAAACAAAATATGTGTCTGCAGTTAAATGTTATATTTTCTTGTACAATATGTCTGATTGTTACGCGAAGACTGCAGAATTAGAAAAACCGCGAAATAAAAAAATAAGATACAATTAGATTGGAGACATACCGCCGCCATCATTCTTATTGGTTCCACTCTCAATTTGCCTTTGTATTGAATCATTTTTAACGTTTCTTTAATTTCAATTTTAATTATTTCTACAGTCAGAATTCTGGGACTTCATGTCAACTCATATTGGTTCTTTGATCATCATATTATACCTAAATATAAATCAGCTTATATTTGTTTTATCTCCTTCGCCATGTTCTGTTCTATTCCTCAAAAGCTTCTCATATCGCAGCTATTAGTTATTTCTTTGTTCCATTATACAATTACGTGTATATTCCTTAAATGTCTCAGCAGTTTCTCAAGAGAGTACTACAAATCCAAAATTCTTGTCTCCGTTTTGCATGACATAGAAAATTTGAGCATTTGAAAATTTCACCTGCATACCGACAATCAAGATGTCTCAGGATCCTACAACGATTTATTCTGCGCTTATGCTATCTTGTGTAAACCATTCTACATATAGGATCCCCCTCTTATTTTCATAATCTTCCACACTATAAAGCTGACTTTCATGCTGAACCATCTTGTGAGACGCGTCTGCAATGTGAACTATCTTTTCCTCGCTACAGATCGATTAAATTCCGCTCAGCCTTTTGATACACAATATGGTATTTCATACCCTAAAATATTTTAATTCCCTTCCACTTTAGGGTACAATCTGCAGGCTATCTATGCTCCTTCCGCTCTAGGGCAACTGATTGTATAGAATTTGCTCTTAATAATACTTTGACGTACTTTTTTGTGTTAAATAAAGGCAAAGTCAAAGCAGCCCTTTCACTAATGCCTCGCCTTTTGCTTGCAATAAAGCTTGCAATAATAATAATAATCTTGATTGATCTTGATATATCCGTTACACACAATCTCCACTCCCCTTAAGCTTCAACACTGCAGAAATATTCTCCATTCAGATATTCCTACATCCATGGACGTTATGGAGTAACGAAACGCGGTCGGTCGTTGTTCAACGGGAGCGAACGTGTAAACGGCAAAAGTTTCTATCGAGATTACGAAATATCGCGCGAATGAATGCCGAGCCGAGGCGCTATCTCGACACGTCACGACGATATTTCAATCGCTCGCGGGCATCCACTTCGTCGAACGACGTATTTTCAAGACTCATCGTTCCTCGTCGCGTCACTCGGTTTACTGCAAGCCACGTAGGATGAGCGTCGACGTTAGCTTTAGCTCTCAATCGTCATTAGAGAGTACAGAGGGGTATATACCGAGCGTAGCACTTTACTGCGATTATAAATTGAACTTGACACAAGCACGAAGTTGACTGTCCCTTCTTCCCGTGCGAAGAGTGAGGGCAGGGAAGGTCGGCTTTACGGCGAAGCCCTTTTTCCTTTTGTGATATATAGCAGATTTCTTTCTAAGCAAATACAATTTGCCCACTGGACATCTTTTTAAATTGCAAATAGCCAGAACGCTCGCTTTTTACGATCGCAGAGGACAGAAACTCGGAAGCTATCTGTGTGTCTCCACTTGGAAACAACCGTCATTTTTCGCGGCTTGACATTCAGCGTTTCCGTCGAGAGGAAATCCATGACTACCGGAGCGACTCGCGTATATATATGTGTGTGTGTATACAACAATACAGATGACGTGCATTACAGGAATGAATATAGGTAGAAATCGTCAGATATGGGAACAATATACTATCCATTTTTATTTCTTTTTTTTTGCTCTCTTTGGTCAGAGGACGACGGAGTAAACGATTTCCCGACACGTACGCAGCAATATTCGCTGGCTTCGCCCTTTTTTCCACATTTTGATACGTGTCAGCTCGTCCTGCGGACGATGGACCGGACACCACGGAAGCGAGGAAAAAAGCAACGCGAACGATAAAAGGGAGACGAAGCTAGAAGGGCACGGCGATTGCCAATGGCGGGCTTCAATAAGTGTCCGCGTTCACTACAATAACCGCCGCAACAAAACGATCGAATGGCACGTATAGCATATCGAGTTATTAACACCCGACTGTGTTGTGATTAAATACGAGATTTCATGCTTTTCACGCTTTTCTTTCAGCGGAAAATTAGTCGAGAATAAAATTTTCGATTAATTAAATATCGTCTATTCGTAAAAATAATTTGACAGAAGGTTTATTCGAAAATTATGTCAATACCATTAAAGAAAGAAAACGATATTTTATTATTGTTTACAATACCACTGCCGTACCTCTTTACAGAGAAAACGGTTTCTTTTGACTCAAGCGCGCGCTATTTAGCTAATTAAAAACAATAAAAAATAAAATTAAAATATATTTATAATAATCATATTAATATTCGATTAACAAGTGAAATTTTCATTAAACAAGTTAATTTTTTATCAAACAAATTAATTTTTTATTCAACACACAAACATGATTTTTTGTTTGATTTTATTCAACAAACATGATTTTTTATTTGAGTAAATTTTTTGCTTGGCCCAAATGATTATTTTGTTTGGTTCAAATTATTTTACTAAATTTTTTTCATTTTACCAAAAGAGTTCAATAATTCTGTTTAAATAACTTTTGACATTTTTCCCCGCATTACTGACAGTCTGTCTTTTTATTACTTCATCGTGTACGCTTCCCATGGATAGCTCTTCTATATGATTTTCTGTTCAAATGCTCCATCATTATTACGATCACTCATCCTTGATTAGTCCAAACAATAGATTAAAAAACGGGACGTTTAAAATAATAGTTTTCTTTCCGATCAAAGAACACGATTCAATCTAACGCTGAGCAATATTTAAAGTATGAAATAATATATTATATGATTGAAAATCAAATTTTATTTTCTTTAAATACTATAATAGTATTTAAATAGTGTTCAACGTGAGACAATATAGTAAAAGACAATTTAATAAAATAAAATAACATTTGATATAGAATATGTTGTTATTCGAGTCAAATGGATAGGAACACTAAGCTCAAAGAAACCGTTTTCTCTGTGTACACACATATTCTCATACACACACACACACACACACACACACACACACACACACATACTCTTTTCTGAATTTATGAGTAATTATCATTATTTGCTTCAACTAAAGGAAAGCAATAATATATCTAACTGTAAGTTATCTGCAATTTGTTTCCACTTTGCACCATTGATCTACATGATGATCTTGCATCCTCTCTGTTTTATTCTCTCCCTTATTTTTATGAACTTTAGCCCCTTGTCCACAACCTTGCTTTAATCTTTAAGCCGTAAGATATTGATCAATCACAGTTGAGTATTTTTAAAATAATCGACTGTGGTTGGTCAATTTCTTACGATTTGAAGATTAAAGCAAGGTTGTGAACAAGGAGTCAAACATCAATATTTATATGTTATCTAAGATAGGATATGTAGACGTAGTATCGATAGAAAGCTTGGCACACTACGGGAATATCGTAAGCTTTGTCTACTAACACACGCTGGTTTGCATACTCTTTCTCTGCTAGCTCTTCCTAGTCGAGTAGCCTCCCAGAAGACATGGCGATCCAGCTGATCTAGGGTAAAGATCATCGTCGCCGGTAAAAGGGTACGAAAGGGCAGAGCGATGGGATTCAAGGCGCTCGGTTTTCCCTCGTAACTGTCGTTGCAGTGCGACGTAATCGAATCGAAACTATAATAACTTTGTCCCGAGCGCGGTACCTGACGGTAAACTCGATTTATCTCCGAGAGAGCGACGACAGTCAGGGTCGTCCGGTGCGAGTGACGAGGTAGGACCGAGGAGAGAAGCAGTCTGCCAGGAACGATCGATAGCTGCGGACCGATTCCCCAGTATTTCCCTATCCTTTCATAGTTATGAGCTCGTGGAGGTACGCTATCGTGCCACGTTTTATGGCTTATAAAGCGACGTTCAACGACAAAAAGCTCCAGTCCCCGTGGGAACAGATTTGCCTTTGATTCCTGTCATTTGCTATTTATGTCTCGCGAGACGCTTATGTCGTTTCGTCTGACGCCAAGTGCGATCGGAAATTGAAAGACGCTTATCGGCAAATAATATTAACGCGCGAGAAAAACAGTATTGAAGATCGATCGATAATTTCTACGAAGAAATAGCAAACCAAACGTTCCAGGACGATTTCGCTAAAAAAAATACAATCTGCGTTCTTTAGTTCGCGCTTATACGTTTACTTATACGTATATTTCAAATTTTTTTAATCGACTTTAAAAGAAAAAAATGATACTTAAAATTTCTTGTATATAAGTTTGTTTGTTTGTACGTTTCGTAATAACTTAATATATTGGAAATGTTGCGATAAAACTTACTCGATTATCTACATATATTATTTACATAGCTCTCTTAGATTAGTGTTCCGCACCTCTTCCAGGTGATCCGCACCTGGAAATCGAGTAATTCCATTATTTTCTTAAAGATCCGAATGCATCTAGAGATACATGTTTAGAAATATATCTAGAGATACAAAAAGAAACTTTTATTTTTAATCGACTTTAAAAAATTAATTTTTAGTCAATTAAAACATACAGAATAGAAAACTTTTTTAAGAAAAATTAACCGCCTTCAAAAACCCTGAAAATTTTAAAAGGGATTAAATAATTTTGACTCATAAAATATTGCCTTATGTAACTACAATTCTACTTTGATATTCTAATGATGCTAGAAATTGCCGTGGAGAAGACAAATTAGATAAGTGAGTAACTGTACATATAGCGACATAAGTAATAATAAAAACGTATAATAATTAATTTAATCATATTATAATTTAATATATTATATTATATATTATATTATCATTTAATATAATCAGATTTTCGTGCCCGCTTCTAATATCATTAGAATAGAATAGATTATAGATACACACAGGAATATATTGAA